CCTTTAGTTAGTGAACAGCCGCAGAGTGACCCTTGGTTAGACCCATGACGAGTGCTCCTCCCTACTACTCTTCTTTACAGGCTTTTGGCACTTGTACACTATGGTAACTTTTGGAGAACCTGTAATTGTTGACCACATATATATTTGTCACATGTATCCATGGCAACCTGTTGAACTAGCACTGAGTTTGTGGTAGAACAGTGGACAGTTATGATGAGTGATTATATGATGAGTTATAACAGATGTTACAACAGTCCAATCATAAATGTGTGTGTGTGTGTGTGTGTGTGTGTGTGTGTGTGTGTGTGTGTGTGGTGTGTGTGTGTGTGTTTGAAAGAAGAACTATGGAATGGGAGTAGGACTGGCTGAAGTGTCTGTGACGGTGACAGCTGCCAGGAAAATCCACTCAACTATTTTTGTAAAGAATGCTTTAAGTGTATCTGCCATCCTTCAGAAGCAGCTTCTTCCATCACCTCCTCCATCACCAAAATCTCCTGCCAAACCCTGCCAACACTAACATTCAGATTAGCCAACCTTTAACAAATACATTGTGAAGGAATTAAACTCCACTTCCTCTCCCTGCTCTCAGTCACTCTGTGTGAGGAGTTCAGTATTCATGCACTTCGTACACAGTAAACCTGACTGAGTTCCCACCAGTTCAAAGTGCTGAAATCTGTGTTTAATATGGGATGGATTTATATGTGGGAGTACAACATGAAAAAAGCAACTAAACTACGATTTCTAAACTCAGGCTTTGCAAACATTTTCATATTCAGAATAAATTATTTTAGTGTCTATGAATGCCCAAATACACTGTTATAGACAAGTATTATGTGCAATGCAGTTGATGCAACTGTTATAACTGTTAGATATTTCATTTCATGCAGGATTTCATTTCATGCAGGATTTTATAAGCCCCTGCACTGTTCACAGCTTACTTTTAATTGCAGTCATGAAAATGATTTGCGCTGCTTGTGGGTGGTACAGTGGTGCAGTTGGTAGCGCTGCCACCTCACACCTCCAGGGTCTTTGGGTCGATTTTGAGCTTGGGTTACTGCCTATGTGGAGTTTTACATGTTCTCCTGTGGGTTTCCTCTGGTTTCTCTGTTTCCTCCCACCTCCCCAGCCATTTGCTATGCTGAACTAAATGTTTGGAAGGTTTCAAGATTAACACACTGGCACCATGTTGTGGCACCTTGTTGGAGGAAAAGCGCTATTAATCAAGAACCATGGTAAATGGCCTGCACTTATATAGCGCTTTTTTTCTTTTTTTAACCGTAGTGGTTCGGGCGCATGGTGGCTTAGTGGTTAGCACGTTTGCACGTTCGCCTCACACCTCCAGGGCCCGGGGTTCGAGTCCCGCCGGGGCCATGTGTGTGCCGAATTTGCATGTTCTCCCCGTGCTGCGGGGGTTTCCTCCGTGTACTCCGGTTTCCTCCCCCAGTCCAAAGACATGCATGGTAGGCTGATTGGTGTCTGTAGTGTATGAATGGGAGTGTGTATGTGATTGTGCCCTGATTGTGGACTGCTTCCTGGGATAGGCTCCAGGTTCCCCGTGACCCTTAAAAGGAGTAAGTGGTAGAAGATGGATTGATGGACCTTAGCGGTTCCACAAAGCGCTTTACACAACAATGACAGCAGACCTTGCCATCGGGAGCAACTTGGGGTTCAGTGCCTTGCCCAAGGACATGTGGGTCATGTGGGTCGGGAATCGAGCTGCCAATCCTACGATTAGTGGACAACCCACTCTACCACCTAAGCCACAGCCGCCCACCAGAATATGATAATACGAAGAGTATCACACCGATCCCACTCATCATGTCATATTACATGTAACTGAATTTACAAACTATATACCATGCAAAAGATAACAAATGACTGAGATCATCCTATGGAAAAGCTGCAGCAATGACATACTGGAAAAACCTTCATAAGGGATGAAACCCTGGATGAGTGTGAGGCTTTGCCACTTTCTCATTAATGTAAATCCACAGCTGCTGAGTGGCTGTGATTCCTGGCATAGCTGCACAGTACACATACATGTTGTGTAGAACCCCTCCCTGGCTCCTCGCTCTCTCACAGCAGGATCAGCAAAGCTATTTCTAGTCACACAGGCTTTATCGACTCCTGGAGACTGTGCTGAAAATAGCGCAGAGCCTCTCTGACTGACACAGCATTCACAAAGCAGAGGGTGGGGGAAGCAAAGAAAGATAAGCATGACATGAGGATGAGGATAAGAATTCAGAGTTCGCGAATAAGGGAGAGTATGGACGATGATGGTTAATACACATGTGCACTGGTGCATACAATGTGAGTTTCCTCTAGGTAATCTACTGCCACTAATGGGACAGTGTATTGGCTCAGATCATAGACACAGTCAAGCCATATACTGCCAAATCTCAACTGCTGGAAGGCTTTTACTGCGCCCGCCAGCCACAAATTTACAGACACAGTTACATGTTATACAAACCTCTGTATCCTGCATTCCAGGAATAGAGTTATACGTTACACTTATAGATAACCAAAATGATTAGGGCACATTACAGTTCTCTGGAGAATCAGTAGAGCCATTCTTGGGGACTGCAGCAATTTACCAGAAAATAACACAGGCATCTATAAATAATTCATTGGACAGCACAGAGTACAGTGACAATATCTACACCAGAAAATACATAGATATTGTAGGTCCAAGACATTTAGTGTTAGAATGTGTTTTAAATATTTTACTGGCACTAAGAGCACCTGCACATTTCAGAAAGTGTTTCTGATTGGGGGTTTGATTCCCGCGTCCTCTGTGTGTGTGTGGAGATTGCAAATTGTCAGTAGTGTGTGATTGTGCCCTGCAGTGGGTTGGCACCCTGTCCAGGGTGTCCCCTACCTTGTGCCCAAATTTCCGTGGGATAGGCTCAAGGCTCCCCGTGACACTGTGTTGGATAAATGGCATTGGAAAATGGATGCATGGATAGTTCTGATCACACCATTAAACAAAATTCTGGTTCTTTTTACATTCTAGTTTTCGATTTACTCTCAAAATGACACCGTATGTACTTCATACAACCTCAAGTCATAGTGCTGTTGAATTATAGTGCAGAATGGTGAGGTTTATATTGACAGTCAATATGATAGACAGACAAGTAGAGATATCTCCTTGAGTGATGATTTTTCTGATTGTTTTTATGAAATCACTGACCCCACCTTAAAACATTTCAGGTTTTTCTTCAGATATAATATGAGTTATATTAGTATATGTTAATGTAGCAGCAGGGATGTGGTCGAGCATCAGTGACAGATGGAGAGGAGGCGGGTTTAACCAGCAGGTAATGGGTGATCATTCTCACCTGTGTCTTTTTACCGAAAGCCTACTGTTCTTATGTGTGTTTCTTTGTGCTTTCACTGACTGCTGTGAGGCAGAGAAAGAGAGTGGCATAGCTAGCAGAGCTTGCAATGAACACACACACACACACACACACACACACACATGCACAGTGTGTGATCTTAACCTTGAACAAGGTGAAAGCAGCGAGCTAGTGACGGCCCCTTTTGGGTTACATTTCTGTTAGTTTAAGATTTTTTTTTCTGTTCAGTTTGAAAGTGCACTGAAAACCTGAGGAAAAATAAAAGTGAGGCCGAAGCTCTGCTCAAATTCCACCTGCCTCCCACGTTTTCCTCCACACAGAAACACATTGGGTTTGACATTTAACAATGTACTTATCAACATTTTGCACCATGCTTTTATTTACTAACAAGACTGAATAAGCATTATTCACTGTAGGTTTATTTAGTTAGCATTAAGTAAGTGTCAGCTAACTTCGGCTTTATGTTTTCAGTAAGGAGGCATTTATTTAGCATTAATGGAAGGAGTCTCCAATATCACAGCTTTGTTACAGTTGAAAGTTTTTCACCATAGGAAAGTCTTCAGGATGCTTTACGCTTTCTCAGTAACATGTCTAACTGCATCTTTCACTCTTATTAAGTTCAAGAGAAGGTGAGAGGATGACTTATAGAACATAAGTGATAACAGGAACAGTTCCTGATTCTATACTGTATGATCAAATATAATTCCCATCGTTTCTAGTTTCATGCTAGTTAATTATGTCAGCCTTAGTACTAATGACAAAACCACTACCAGCAATGTCAGCATTTGATTGTCAGCAATACAATTTATTCTGGTCACCTGCAAAACCAGCATGCTAAGCTGATGCTTTTTTTAAACAGTAAAGCTTCCTGTAAAGCACTGAGCTGGAAATATGTGCTTATCATCATTCTGAGAAAAGCATGGAGGATGTTTTAATGATTGGCAGTAATACAAACTGAAAGAGGTGCTCTGCTGTCAGGGATGAAAACACAGACCTCTGCAAACATGTTTTCTCAGATTGTTATGGCTGCCATTGCTGAATTGATACTTGTAGACAGAATAAAGTGGCACTACGGTTGCCCTTTTAACTTTTCCCGGGAACAGTTTCCATTAAGATTCCTTGAGCTGAGATTATTTAACATTATTTAGCATTAATACACCATGAGTAACATTAAGAAAGTAACTATAATTTGTATAAGTCTATGTTTGTCCCATCCTTAAGTAAAATTAAACCCACACTAACCAACATGAACTTACACCTCAATGAACATGTTTGTGGTTGTCATCTGACAAAATTCAGAACTGAGGCTGAATGCTAATTTACGGCAGTGGAGGTCAGAGGTCAGTAAGTTTCCAACGTTTATGTACATACTGTAATTGAATAATAAGAATGCATAAACATGGTCCAGTGTATGTGCCCATTCATCTTAAACTGCTTATTCCTTCTTCAGGGTAACAGGGAACCGGAGCCTATCCCAGGAAGCATTGGGCGGGGTACACCCTGGACAGGGTGCCAGTCACATACACACTCACACACCCATTCATACACTATGGACAATTTAGACACACCAATCAACCTACCATGCAGGTGGAAATCGGAGTACCCAGAGGAAACCCCGCAGCAGGGAGAACATGCAAACTCCGCACACACAGCCCCAGCGGGAATCGAACCCGGGACCCTGGAATCGAACAGGCGAACGTGCTAACCACTAAGCCACCGTGCGCCCTCAGTGTATGTGTATTTAGTTCAAATTAAGCAAATGCATGTTAATACAGTACATTCTTACTTTGTTAACATTACTTCTGGTTTATTAATACAGGGCTGTTTTTCTGAATGGAGTTACTCAGGCCCAGTGTGATGATGGACGAAAGATTTAGTAAAATGAGGAAGTCTCTCTCTCTCTCTCTCTCTCTTTCTCTCTCTCTCTCTTGTTCCCAGAAGGTAATGAGGGAACGCTTGTTGTACCTGGCAAGTTGCCACTCAGAATAAATCTCAAGCTCTCTTGTACAATCCAGGGGCTCAGGTGGTCAATCCACACAAGTGTTGCAAATATGGATGACCACTGATCCAAGTACTCTTAAAATGAATGAAAAGGCTGGTCAGAGTGCCATGGAGATACACATCTTAGTAGTAATAAGACTACTATCGGCTGAGGTTATTGCTAATTTATTCTCACTCCATACTATGAACTCTTTCCACATCAGCCATAACTGGTGTGATGATATATTAATAAAAAGAACAGACCTATTCAGACCCCACAGGGTGTTGATTTTACTACATGGCATTAATGTGGTATTCATGTGAGTGACCAGTCATGTTTAAGGAGTATTTGTTATTTAAGTATTAAATCCATGGGTGAAGGTTACGAGCCAACTTTTAAAGCCACTGATTTTTTTTTCTAAAGCTATAAACAAACAATTTGAAATTACTTCTAAACACAGAGTACAACAGGAGACTACTTCTTGGTTTATCCATCCATTGCACATCTTTGCTTTGACTTGAAGTGGTTCCTGACTCACATAGTAATATTTATCCAACCTCTTTATCAAAATGGGTAAGAAAGCAACGTCAGCACAGGATTAAATTCTTTCCACACGTGACAGAGATGCACACATGACATGTCCAAGAGCAACCCTGAAGATGTTTTCCCTTTTCCAATCTAGATTACGTCTCATTCCTTCACTGAAACAGCTGTATGAACAGAAGGTCTTACCTTTGCAAGTGAAGCACTTGATGTGGAAATGCTTGCTCTGCACGCGCAGCACCTCCCCTTTACATGGCTCCCTGCATTTGTAACACTGGATGACCAGTTTCTCCGGGGGCCGGTGCGCTTCCTGAGGATGGGCCACTGTGGGAGAGAGCAGAGAGACATTTTCATTAGCAGGCCTTAGCAAAAGATAAAAGGAGAAAACTCGAGAAAGTGGTCAGGCATCCAGCTGCTGGACGGACTAACTCCACATGATCCATCACAAATGTAGAGCGTAATCACACTGAGATTAGACTGCAGAGTGTGCAAATAGAATTTTATGGTTGAAATAGTAATGTTTAGCCTCTGTAAAAATGAAACATGCTACAATGAACAGGAAGGTCATCGCTATGTCAAATATTAACAGAACTGAATTGGATAATTGGGTGGCTTTAACTCGACTGAAGAGGAGAAGTATGAATATAATGTGCGGTAAAGTCATAATTGTGCCAAATACAAACTCAACAGTCTCAGCCTGATGAACATAAAGCACAATGCTGGAGTGTTTCTGTACCAGCTCAAGCCCACACCATGGGTGATGGCATACTGTGTGTAGGTGTGAGTGGTGCATCGTGTTAGGATGTGTGTAATCTGGATTGTTAGATGAAATGCTCTGTTTATCAAAAGCTCATGGAGAGGTTTTGACCTCCTCGTCCAACTTCCCACCCGACCAGCTATTTACTCACTTCACATACTGATTTATTGTCTATAAATCTGAGCCACCCATCCCAAATGTCACTTGGATTTTCTTTCCTTTTTTTAATTTTTTTTTTTTACCTCTTGCATAAGAGCAGCCAATCACAATTGCTTGTACTTGTTTAATTGAAACAGTCAAGAGTGTACACACAAACACTCTCTCTCACACACACACACACACACACAAACACACACATAGACATTAACAAACAGAGCACAGAAGGTGTTGCATCTTGATAACTGCATGGCCCAGGGAGAATATGGGAGCTGACAGTAGAGAGCACAGATAGGAACAGATAATTAGAGGCAGGTTTTCTGCTCTCTGAAATGTACTGAGGCTTTGAACATAATCTGCCTCATCGTCGTTCTCTTTCTCTCTGTCTCTTTCTTATTGACATGCTTAGTCAAGGTCATTAGGGTCAAAATGTCATCTCCACATGCATCGAGTCTGAGCTTCAATCATGCTTTTCGAAGAAAAGCTCCCGTCCGAAGCTCTCTTCAGTCTTTCTATTCTTGTCTCTTTCTTTCCCAACCTTCCTCACCTTCTCATGATCTCTCACTCACTGCCACTCTTCTCGTCCCCTTAATAAATCCTGCCAACACCAAGTCATCCCTTCTGAATATGTATCTTCCCCCTTCTCCATGAGAGAGTTGATCTGTGCCTCTCCGACCAAATGACCAGCCACTTCAAAGCTCTGCGCGAGATTAGTGTAGGAAAGAATGTGTCATATTGAGAGCGCGCTCTTTATCGGCCAGTCGGGTTGCACAGGCCTGCAGCCTCAGAGCCTCTTCACTAACAACTCAACAACTCATTTTAAAGCCACGACAGCCATCCCCATGACAAGCTGCTTACAAAAACACACTTCTGAATCAATTAAGTGAGTGTTTTGTCTCTCTCGCCGTCTCTCGATCTCTCTTTGAGGCTCATGTTTTGCAGTGAATCCTCAGGAATACTCCTATTGCAGCACAGACGGAAGCACAAGGATTTCTCACAGACCAGTATTCACCGCTGGAGAGAGCTGTTGCCATGGCAACCAGATTTAATGTCACGACAATACAGCACAGGGAAAGTTGTATAATGTAACGGGAGAATGAGGCTGCAGTATTTTGTCAAACTGACACTGAGGAATAGGCAGGTGGATTTATGCTGCATGTTGTTTTGCTGTAGCTGCAAGGCAGATATATAAAATGTATATATATATATATATATATATATATATATATATATATATATATATATATATATATATATATATATATATATAAATGCCTAATTACAGTATAAAAATGCCTAATTGAAAACGCCACATTGATGTCATTGCAAAAATGTGTCCATGTGGTGAAGCAATACAATTCATATAAATGCTTCTATGAATCATCCATTCAGATGTTATACAGATATTCTGTAGGACTGTTTCTTTAACAAGGCAGTGCGTGCTGCAGATTTAGCAGCACTGAGCATCACCCACTTATGCAAATCATCATATGGACAGGGATCTCCTTGAGCATTATGTGTTACTCATACTGAGTGTGAAGCATAGATGTGGAATACATCCCATGCCTGACAGAGAATGTAACCAGATGGTGTGAGAAAAAAAACACAGTCGGAAGGTACAGAGCTTTATAATACACCTGCTCATAGTTAAACAAGCAGTATAGGTATGTTATAGAGTAAAGCAGGACAAAACATCACTTACAGTACAGATGCATGTTCACATACACATTACACCACAATCAAATTCTTTTTTTCAGACGGGGTCAAAGAGCAGGGTCAGCCATGATGTAATGCCCCTAGAGCAGATAGGGTTAAGGGCCTTGCTTAAGCTCCAGCTTGGTGATGCTGGGGCTTGAACCCCTGACCTTCTGATAAGTAACCCAGCGACCTTAACCTTTGAGCCACAACTAGCTAAAATGAGAGGCATGTAGTTATTAGAGTAGGTGTGCAGGGGTGGACTAGTGCATACTATGCATGTGGAAGCTCATGGAAGACGTGTTTTGGTTGATCAGAAGGCAAAAAAGTGCCAGCTAATGTAATGTAACTTATATTTAGCTACATAGTTAGCTTAGATCAATACAGACTAATCAAAATGAACAAGTATAATAATGTAGCACATTGTGTTCGCACCATCAATAAAAAGTCGGCAAGTCATTAGCCAATAGTTTTCAGCTATGGTGTTGTGCCCTTGATGTTTCCTAATACCGGCATCCTCCTGATTATGAAATGATCATCTGTCATTCAAGCACACTAATTAATCTGCTTAGTAACATCCCATTCTACCATCAGCCAGTGTGTAGTGCAACAGGCAGTGTGGTTGAGAATGAGTAGAGCACTACTTTGAAGCCTATAAGTTTAAAACAGGTCAAAAATGCTTAATCTTGCTGCATTTTGGTTCAAAATTTTGTGGTTTTTTGCGGAAAACTACTTGAACATCAACATGAGACTTTTTAGCTGTACTCATATTCGACGCATGTGAATCGAAGAGGGCTTTGGCTGAATGCATGCTGTGATGACACCACATGATGTGTCTTGGCCCAGATCTGTAATTTTGAAAGATCATAAAGCTCACCAAATATTGCTTGATTTTGTGTTCATTTCCTGGAGGGACTGATTTGAACATAACCTTTTTAAATTGCTTTGCGAAAGTCAATATGGAGTAGTTTTGTTTTTTTCTGGTTGTTGAAGCTACTTATCTCTGGGGCATATACAAGTGCTCGGGGGTGAAACCTGCCCAGGTTACTGATTTGTCCACCCCTGAATCTGGACCTGGTGACAGATCCTGAGAACTGGTTAAAGATCATGTCCTTCTCTTTCCACACAGTCACGATCTCAACAAACAAAGCTAACCTTCCATATAAAACTCTGTTCTTTCTTACTCATTTCCCTCTTTAGCACCATGCTACGTAAAATCCTAGCCCAGGATCTGATCTCTGATCTCTGATCTCTACACTCGACTAAAGGCTGATCTCTTTGTCCTGTGACCACACAGGACACAACCAACTTATTGAAACTGCCAAACGGATTATCTGCTCCACTGGAAATATTTGGGCTGAACAGAAGTCACGAAGCCCACCTTTAAAAGGATAAGCCAAAGCTTAAGATTTCAGTCTTAACTTAGTTACAATAATGTCCTTAATGTGTTCTGTAATACACTTATTCAGTATCTTTATCAGCACATAAGCTTGAGTGAAGCTAACAGAAATAATCGAAAGTCCCTTCAAAGTAGATGTCACTACACAGGCTGAATGAAGAGCTCTGAAAAGACCAGATAATGTAAATTACA